CCATCATAAATTAACCGCAACTCAAGGCTTTTTCATAGTTAAACCAAATTTAGGGAATACTTTTTCTTTTCTTAAGATCTAACTGCTTTATTGTGTCGATTTGTTTCTGAAGTCACTATGTGAGTTCAGTGGAAAATTTGCATAAATGTCTGTGACTTGTTAGTTATTTGCCGAAATTTGTTCTTGTTTAGCTGATTGGAATCTTTCCGACATTGGAATTGTTCCGAACACATGGAGACAATAGTAGCGGTAGTGGTGTTTACGTTTTGGTGCTTTCCCTCTATGCAATCCATTTTGACCAACATCAATTGTCTCGATTGCGCATCTCATTTACTTTCCAATTAAAACTGTAGTGTTGGCTGTACAGTTTATAATAAACAGGAAATACTAGTTCCCATGGATGGCTTTCGTAATTTTTTTTCAAAATTGACTCGTGGCTCCGTCTCTGCGTGCAACTTTTTCTGCCGTTGTGTGCGAGATGGTAGTTGATCTAGTGTGACTACGGCTATTGACTTATGGAATAAAACTTAAATAATTGCAGTAAACAGCATCTACGATCCTTTAAACTTAATTAACACATCTTCGATAGGTATTACTAACATTGGCTATTTAGATACGACTGATTATGGTGCTTCTTACTCTACTTTAAAGGGCATCATTTACTGAGCATCGTTTTAGAGTGACGTGGAGATATACTACGGAACTGAGTATCTAGGTACCGGTCACATTAAAGATGCAAATCGGTATGCACGACGTGGTCTGTTAGCAATTTGTCCAGAAAAAATAAATTTGCGTCATCAACTACTGCAGCTTTTTCAACTGTAAAACCTAGGAACAAACACGATGACACCAGTATTTATTTCTATTAGTTATCTTACCATGTAACGGGTAACGGCCCGTTTACGTCTGCCAACTTAGAATGACTAATATACTTTCTGTGCTCTTCCTACTTCCGAGTTCCTCTTTCAAACCCGTTTTGACTCCCAGTTCTCATAATTTTAATCGGTGTTCTGAACAATACGTGTCAAAACTGTGATGTACTCACAACCGATTGTGCCCGCCTCTCTTGCAATCGGAATATCATAAATTGAGTTCTCTACTTTATTTAGAGCATGCTAATCACGTTTAGTCGGCTACTTCATCCATTGCGGTCGCCAAGATTGATTGCGACACGAATACTTAGTTCATTTGGAAAAAAGCCCCGGATTCCGCCTAGAAAGACGAAGGCTGTTACCAAAGATCGTGCCTCACTTCTGTCGAATCCACCAATCGCGCCTTCCACCAGGTTATACAAGTCTGTAATTTACCGTATTGTTTTAGCCAGCTTCTAGAAGACTTCCTTACTCCACCAGGACGATCAAAATCCCAAGAAAATGCTGAAGATAAAAAGGACTATCTAGAGAAAAGTGCCCGTCCTCGCATTACCAGAAAAAAACCACTCAACGATGATACAACACCTGCGCCAAGGGACATAAGTCAGGCGCAAAGCCAAGATGTTATTAAGTCTGTGTAAGTTACGTTATTTAAAGTTGATGTTTCTATGGCAGAGACCTCCTGCGCGACTTCCTAAACGCGGAAGTGCAGCCACCGAAACGATCCGCCCGAGCACACGCCCGGACTATTCATGGTCCTTCCCGAGTTCGCCGCACGGAGATGTGAGTCAATCATGTTACTTTAATCCAAATAAGGCTCCCACCCCCTGCAAAGCTGGATTTGTTCGACCAAGAAACATTTAGCAACTTATGTACGTAAGTCCACTTTCAAGCGCCTCCAGAACTAGTATCTCACTTTTACGGGTTCAGCTTCTGAAGAACCGTCGTACAGAAACGAGGTTTTTTGCCAAATCGACTCATTAGAAGCCTCAACCAACCGAGCAAGATCGACACTTAGTAAGTTTGAGGAGCTTACTCAATGGACCTTGGACGGAAGGCTTTGGCGGTATCCCATTGATAATGAACAAGGTAAGTGGCCTCGGTGGCTAACTGCTTCTGTCGTTTAGACTGGTTTGAGGAGCTAAACACTCCTTTCAATGAGCACGTATTCCTGAACCGGTTCGTCAGCAAAACTGTGGGATCAAAGGGTCCTGGTCCTTTAAGGGCATTCATGGAATTGGTGTGCACTGGCCTGGCTCAAAACCCTTACATTGGCGCCCAGCAAAAAAAAGACCATATCGCTTGGTTTGAGAGCTATTTCAACGATAAAATCAAGCACATTGCGGCAGCTGTAGAAGAGGAGAGGCAAATGGTGGAAGCCGAATCAGGCGCCTCAAAAACGAAGCTGTAACATTATTTTCTAAATAAACCCCATCAACTTTTGTCTCGGTCTTACCTACCAGTGGTATAATTAGTCTATTACCGTTGGGTAACGTCGCTCTGCTGATAAAACCATTGCCATTTACTGCTACGAGACTCATGGACAAAGTCTTTTGTGGTCTCGAATTCGCATTGATGATTCTCATCATGTGCAAGGACAAACATCTGCTGCGCCTGAGAGTTCGCCCGTCTAAAAGCTTATGGCATCACAATTAACCCTTAAAAGCGTGTTTTTTTTGGAGTGAGCGATGTTGAGTTTCCCGTCACATATTCATAAACTTTCAGATCCTGGTATTGATCTTGAATAGTTAGCGGCGGCTCAGAACTAAAAGAGCTTCGTCGAAATTCTGGTTTTAAGCTGAAAGAGCAGCTACCTCCCTACGGTTAGACGATAATTACGTGTGATTTGTTAATTGGGAAGCCTCAACCTTACGTTCTCACTCAATAAAGACGGTAGATTCTTCACTAATTTCATTCACTTTCACGTCCTCCTGTTCGCGCCACTACGCTTTTGATAACAGACCATTTTGCTTGGCCTAGCGCCCACAAAGATGTGCGCTAATTGGCTAAACTTTGGTGTGGGCTTGAACCACGCCAAGGCCTCGAAATTGGTTTTGGCTCGATTACGCTACCCTGATACACGCGATGAAGACCGTACAGGAGGTGAACAAACCGTTTACCTCAGCGCCCAACCAAGTTGGTGCCGTCGTGTGCGACGTTTGCCCCTGTGTATTTTTACCTCAGATGTCTGCCATAGATGCGCTAACATCGAATCGTAAGCGTGAGGATAATCTAAAAAAATCGTCCGTGCATTTGGGGGGGATTGGGGGTCGGTGCGGCCGGCGACATGCCGCGAAGGGGACACCCGCGTGGGAGGCTGAAGTTACCGGATTAACGAGTTTGAATCAACACGATTCACAACACCGCATTCGGCATCAACAAGGCCAAGTCCACCAACACAATACTTCGCTACCTTGATCTTTTCCCTCCCACACGCGTGCTCTCGATGCTCACACATAGATTTGGTGGGATCTCTTCCGTGATTTCACCAATGTCCTAACTTCAGTGGACCGTTTTACCTGTTGGACAAGAGCAACCCCCATTAAAGACGGTGCATCCGAAACACCTTGGCAACTACGCATTCATGGGTTTCGTCATTTGGCGATCCCAGTTCTATTACATCTAGCCGCGGCACGCAACCTACGGCTTGTTTTGGGATCTAAACCACCTCCGTGGATGCAAACATTCTCGCTCTATAGCATACCACCCACCGCCAATTTGAATCAGCCATTACTGCGTAAGCCGCCCCTTATAACCGGTCCAACCCATTAAAGTGGATTTTTTGGCCATTCGCAATACGATTTGGGGAAATATTGACTCAATGTCAGCGATCGTATTTTGGTAACTTTGGCGTCCGCATGATGAAATGGTCGTAACTCCTGACTGCTAACGTTGATATTCCCTCATCAGCTCACGCTGACCAGCTGAAGTGCTTCATGAAGGAAATCCGAGCAACCCCAACAAGTGACCTCCCCACAGTCTCGTATTCAGCCAAATTAGTCAACTAACTCCGTTTTTGTCCACGCTGATGCCAAAGAACCCTCCAGTCACACGCAGGCTTGAAATTAGTGAAGCCGCTCAAACAGCTTAATCTTGTGAAACTCCCTCCGCCATAAATGGACTTTGGGATGCATTTCCACATAAACCAATGTTTGAGAAGAGAGCATTAGATTTTAGCTCCTGCCTATTAAGCCAATCAACAGTCGACTACAAAGGGCGAGCGCAAATTTCTCGCGCTTGCAACGCCACAATCGTACAACTCTGGCTGACTCACGCGAAACCGACATTCAGAAATGTTCCAACTTTAGGATCTACACCGATTCAGTATACCAAAACATACCTTTATTAAAATTCGAAACATGCCTTTTCCCTTCACATTCCCACGGTTACAAAACGCGTCTTCGGCTGCCGGCGAAATCGGTAAATGAACCAATGAGACGGAAGGGTGACCTTACTGGGCTGAATAAAATAAGTTTGCAGCGATAAAAAAACTGTTAGTCCACTGAATTCTTGTTGGGACTGTGATTATACCACTGAATCTAAGTTGGCAAGGCATGCTAACTAATGGGACAGTGGATACACAAATTATGGAGCCACGCATGGAGATGATATGCAATGCAGCAAGACCATGAGGGAAATAGGAGTAAATTAAGACCATAATAGTTAATTAAAGGAATATGAGAACAAAGCTAAGTACACTGCATGTTACTTTCTAAAAGAGCTCGAGTGCATTAAATTACGAAGATCCAGAAGGGCATACATGCAAACTACGGGAAACGACTTTAGCTCCTGCCTGCAGTGTAAACCAACGGTCAACCATGTAGGAGGAGCACGAATTTCTCACGCTTGTAACGCCAAAGTTGCACAACTGTGGCTGACTCGCGTGAAACCAACAACCGAAATGCCCCAAATTCGGAATAAATACCAAATCAACATGCTCCGACATAGCTTTATTCACATTCAAAGCTTCTATTCCTCATCTTCTTCGTCGTTTCCATCACCGCTCTTCTTAGCCTTCTTCCTAGCAACACGACCTAGCTTCCCAGTAACGGTGTTGAGACTCACGTCAATATGCTTGGCTGAGTCAAGGCGTACCATGAAGCTAGGACAATCCACAAGCTGTTTGCGGACGCGAATATGACGCTGTCGGATTAGCACACGAGCGTGATGAATTGAGCGCGCAAGGCCCATTTTGTAGACCTGAGTTTGCAAACGGCGTTCAAGAAAGTCCTCGATTTTCAGACCCAAAACAAAATCGAGCTTCATCTTGTCTTCAGGAAGAACACCAACACGAACAAGGCGCCTTAGAAGAGCGGAACCTACAGATGCCATACAGAATATCTTAGTTGGCCACACGTGTCAATCAAAGTGCAATAACGAACACAGGCATGTCGCATATTTGGCCAAATCAAAACATGAGAAGTTAAGTAGCCAGAAACCGAGAGATATCATTTTAAATTCAATTGACAGCCATTAAGTAAACGCGACGGGTCAGAATAGATAACAACCATATTTATTCATCAAATAAGCACAATGTTCCTGCATACCAGGGCTCCTCCAAAAGCAATTAGTTACATTGTCATTGAAATGTTTCTCAAGAAGAGAAGTCGCAAACGCGCACTGTTCCTGCAAGTATCTTGCATGGAACAACCACAACATTAATTGTTACGGCAAGACCAAATCAACTTAACAAAGGGCTTACCTTCGAATAACCTCCGGGGATCACGCTCATCAAGCGTTAGTAATTCACGAGCAGCTTTCCGAATTTTCGCCAGCACAAGCTTGACCCGCCATACTTCTCGTTTGTTCCTCAATCCATACTGACCGATTAGCTTCAACTCTTGATCTAACCGTTCCTTTTCAAATGGACGACGAGGAGTCGCGAACGTTTTCGAGTAAATCCTCGGGACACGACTCATGTTCTTAGAACCGAATCACGCCACTCGCAACACTTCAAGAAAGGCGCTGAAGTGAACATCTAAACAAATGTCGATGGCACAGGGCTTTTCTATGTATGTTAGAATGCATTTTAAATATTAACTAGAATTTTTATATGGTAAAATCAATAATGTCTTCAGAATAAAATAACAAAAATGACAACTACGGTTTTGTTGTCCACTAAATGTTGGCATCTCTACCGTGTGGCAATAGCAAAAATATACTAAAGAACTCAACTTGCTTTGTATGTTTTGATTTGATAAATTTTTGCAAGCAGTCACAGTTATTTTCTTTGACTTATTTTAGTTTTGAAATTTAATCAACCGAAACTTAGGCTCTAATAATGCCAAATCAGTAAAAAAGAACTTTAATATATCAAGGTTTATCGTCAAATCATAATCAAACATATTCTCATAGTGAAAAAAATCCAAAATAAAGCTCATAATTAATTATTTGACAAACCCTTTGTAAATCCTTTTTTTAAATATTATAATGTTTGGTCAATACTTATGTTTAATTTACTATTATTATCTGCAGCCCGAATTCGGCATCAAAATGTGCTAATCGATATGATGATTTACGGTACAATTAGTTATATTACAGCTCGAATACCATAGATTAGATGAGAACATGTTATCAGACAATCAAATTCTTCTGTCATCCATCAAGGTAATAATCATTCGGAGTAAATGATCCCAAAACAATATTGCCACTGTAAGAAACAGTAAAACAGTTGTTTGCTGCGAATTTTTTTGCAGAATTATTTGTATGGTGGTGATTTATTAATGAGCTGTAAGCGTCAAAATGATTTTCCGTTTGCTATCTCCCAAAGGATTTCTGTTTGTCAACGTTTACATAGAAGCTCAATAACCATTTTTTTAAATAGAAAATAAATGTATTCGCTGCCCTTTAAATCAACTACCTACCACAGAGTTTTGATATTTACTAGACAAGAACCTTAATTGGTGTCTAGATTTTAGACTAGCAAAAGATTTTACTAAAATATAAAATGTAATATCGAAGCGAAAGATCAAATTAGTCATATAACCCTAACAAGAGAGCTTGATAAATGAAAAATTATCTTAGAGCTCGTAGTAAATTGCGATTGGTACCTCTAGAAGTTAACACAGCTCCATATGTTGCCATTTTTAAGCCTTTTTTAATTAAACCTATTTAACTGGATTTGAGTTTATTGTTATAAAATTAATTTTTTTTTTCTCTTTTTAAGTTTGCAACCTAATGCGGACATTGATTATAACCAGTCTTGCAACGACCGTATCAGTGGTGCTGAAATATGTGTGGTGAGCCTAACCTCTACGGACGGTATGAACCTTGTAGCAGGATATGCGAAGACAAAAAGACTTTATGAGTTTAAGGAACATAGGCCTAAATGTTCAGCATCACAACATCAATCAAAGTGGACTCTTAGCGATGCTATACACAACCCTGAAAGTGGCACTAAACCAAACATTAAAAATTTTGTTTGCAGAAATTTAATATCATGGTTTTTCGAATTTTAGGCGATTGATTAAATTATATTTTATCTTTCAAATGGCCACTCATATGCAGCCAAAATCAACTATTATAATATTTGTATCGTAAATTTCTTTGGGTGCGCATAGGAAAGAAAATAAGTTTGGACTCCTCATATCTTTCGGTTGATCCTAAAGGTCTCCATGACTTTACAGAACGACATCTAATTGAAGTTGAAATTTAATGTTATACTTAGTTGGTAACCGATTGTTTGCAACAATAATAGCGTCAAATTAGTTATTTATTTCGAATTTTTGAAGTGAAATGTTCTAGCATTGCCGAAAGCCCTTGGCAAGTTAATGGCGCCATATTTGGGATTCGAAATTATTTGCCACTTCGTTGGTTGAATTCCAAGGCTCGAGTGAAATTAGAAAAAAAAAACACATTTTGACCGACATTAAAAGGTCAAAACAAAGACCAGAGGGTGCCTAGTACCCCTCATAAAGCTATACGGTGATAGATTTTATTTAAAAATGTAATAAACAGTTCATGCGTTCACTAAATCGTTGCTGCTCATCTAGCGTCAGACTATTTCTGAAATGCTTGTGTGATGAGCGCTAAATAAAGTATTATCAGCAAAAATATAAGTACTCAACAATGTGTGACATGTCTGTGATGTTTTATGATTAAAATACGCTGGTTTTCACTTGAAGTTCGATCAGCTGCAGTTGGCATAGTGAACTTTAAACTTACACATTCTGAATTTATTTAAATATTTCGATGATGAGGGTTTGGTTTCCTCATATTTTGTACGCAATCAATTATGGGAAAGAAACCTCATGATAATTTTTGCTATATTTTAAAGCTATGAAGGAATTAGCTGCATGTGATTCACTCAAATAGCATACGCCAACATCATTTAGAAATTAATATTAACCAGTACACCTTTACGGACAAAAATTCAATTTGATTAAACTTATCAACTAACAATAGGTTTTACAGCACTTATCGTGCAAAATGCCTCGTTAATTTTCCAAGTCTGATTAAAATAATTTAACACAAAACACCATATTTCGAAGTTTTTGGAGCACTTCATGGTAAGTTTGCGCTTAGTTATTCAGTGCCCGGCCTAAATGTACGCGATCGTTAGTTTGAGTTGCTGTGACTCGTGTTTATTTAACCCCTTAATCCGTTCATTTCACCTCCTGCACAGGGTTCCCTTTTTCGCAGCATGTCGCCAGCCGCGTGAATCCTCGACTCCCCCTTCATTAGCACGAATATTTATCTTGGCGTATCCCCACACATAGGTGTCGATGTTAGCGCCTGTATGGCTCACACATCCGAGGTATAAATACACACGCGCAAACCCCACACACGACACGACACCAGTTTTGGTTGAGGTCTGAAGTAAACTTTCGTGTCCACGTCCTTTCTGATTATTTTCTTCATCGGAGGTATCAGGGAAGCGTAATCGAGCCAGGGTTAATTCCGTGGCCCCGGCGTGGACCATGACCACATGCTGGGGCCCACAACAATTGGTGACCCAAACGTTGGACGAATATCGACCTTCTGGTGTCTGAAACGTCTACCTGCGTTGTACTGACGTTTGGCGTCCTATTACCACTATTCACTGGTCGATGTCAAATCTCCAGATACCGCTAAACTCTGGATAATGTCCTTCGACTCCCATCACCTGGCAGTGGCTACCAATTGTTCTACGACAATCCTTTATTTTAATTAGTCCAAATCTCTCCTATTTACAACCTGGCCTCATCCATCGAGTCTCTCTTTTATTCAACGTAGCCGCATCTCTTGACTTCTGACCGTCGTCCAGCTGCTTTTATCGGCCGATTCTATCCCCTGGTTCTAGACTGTCAACCACATCGAAAGATATCAATGATCTTATGATTCGACATTATGCAGGACTAATCCAACTATCAACCTTTCAGATATCCAAATGGTAGAAAAGGTCGTATTGGTAACAAAGATTCATCTCGAACGACTTCCGAAAACGAACAAGGATGCCAAGTGTTTTATTTACCTTCAGCATACGACAATCCATCCCATTTTTACATTCACATGGGCCACATTTCGACTGCAGAAACCTACGGCCTACCTTTCATAGTCCGCATTGGAAGAAAAGGTTAGCTGAGTTGTCTTGCTAAGGGAGAGAATTCTCAGTACGACCCACATCGACAGTCACATCCAAATCACGCGAAACCTACGGCCTACATTTCAAAAACTCCACTGGACGAAAATGTTTGCCAAATCCACTCGCTAACGGGGAAAGCTGTTGTGAATCGTGTTTATTCAACCCCTTAATCCGTTCATTCCACCTTCTACACAGGGTTCCCCTTTTCGTAGCATGTCGCCAGCCGCGTGAATCCTCGACTTCCCCTTCATTAGCACCTGAGGTACTTGTTGTAGATTTGTTATAAATTTAAGAGTTCGTTAAATCATAGTGGAAATCAAGTCGCCCAGCTCAATCGCTTTGCTTAAATCCAAATTAGGTCTGTGTGAAGAACTTTTCATACTTCTGGCAAAGATAACACTATCGCTTTGATATAAGTAATTCTAGATTTGCAAAATTTCAAAATCTTTGCATCGGTATAGTTTCTAATTGATATTGATTTTGTTAGTATAACTAAAATCGTGAAGAAAACTTATTTCCTGTGATCTCGCGTATACAGTTTTCTATGCCCTGAAGTCAAGGCGATTTAAAGGATTTGATTTTGCAAGAAACATGGCAGATTAATTTGGTGTCATTGCTTATTTATGATATAACGTGATTACGAATGGTAGGATAACATCAGTTGTTATTATACCCAAATAAAGCTTATTAATTGCCAGACCTTTTTACGGGACACAAAATTAATTGATTGTAAATAACCTAAATTGTGGAGTCCCAAATTTGCCGTATTGTATTTGGTCCAGAGATTTAATCATACAATTAATATTATCTCTTCCCGACTAATACGATCCTTGCTAAAATTGGACATTTTTAAAATTCTAAAACAATAGAAATGTTATATTTTTTTTCATTTGCATTTCGCAAGCAAGAACTTTAAATTAGTGTTCTGACATTATGAATAACTTGCATTGGGAACCAAATTTTTGCAATCTATCGTTATTCTAATAGCAATGTTGGTTTCTTGCGAGTTGCAACTACACTAAACCATGAGAAATTTGGTAATTGGTAATACGACCAATTAATATAAATTCATTATGGTTTAAAGTCTGAAAACAATGCATTTTTCCAAAGTGTGGTACATTTGGTACAATCCCATTAATGATTGCTACCTAAATTTGGGAAAAATTACCCCTGAGCGTTATACATTATGTGAGGCTCCACCACATATTGTACAAAGCAAATTGTTATTTTAATCATTTGAAAGCTGTTTCGTAACCCAAATCTTGTTTTTTTACCAATTTCAAACATATTTTTTTGCATATTTTTCAGTCTTACTCTTCTTTAACAATAGACAAAAATTAAGTTTGTTCAATCTAA